ATCTTTTCATGTCTGACTTCGATGTAGCTCGCTATTCTGGCAGGATAGTTTAAAAAATTTATAGGAGCGCCAAACTATTTCCTAAGAAAGACTACTTATGACTACTTATAAAAAACGATTCTCAAACGCTATTGTTTTCTTCGTAAAAAGCTCATGTTTACATACCTAATCAAAAATACGTGCTGTATCATAGGAGTATATCATTATCACTATTGACAAACAGCCTAATATAAAACCAATATATAATGAGAATAAATGGAATGAAGATCTACAGTTGTCTTCGATGAATATCTATAATAATAAGACATATTTTATCGGAAGCCACTTAGACGCTCTCCTTGAAAAAATATAAAAAAAATGAAACATATATTACAACGTCGATAACGGAATCAATCAAGTGTGAAGGAGAGTGTATGCGTTTATATATACATACACGTAAAATATAAAAAAGGAAGAAAAAGAATCGTCCTCGCAAATAAAGTAATATTAAAATCGTTTTATCTATATAACTATTACCTATTTTTGAAAAAAAGGCAATTCACGAAGATGCTTATAACGTTTGAAGGAAATACGCTACAGATCTGCAGTTTTTAGCGTTGGATAGATCCTCATACGAGACGTACTACTAGTGGTAATATATAAAGCCTCGTATCATGTTTCTTGCGATACAGAACAATACAAATAACATTCTAATAGGATTAGGTTCAATGCATAAAATGTTCTGAATAAGGGTGACTATCTATCTAAAATAAATCAAATATTGACTACTTATATCAGCTTGAACGAGCATAACGCGATGACATTTTGGCATCAAAATTTCCAACTTTTCTCCGTTATAAAATTAGCGAAAAATGTTTTTTGTCAAAAGATGTATTTGTGCTTCTTCAATATTCTCTGCAAATATTAGCTAGTTTGAGTAAGTCGTTTCGAAACTATCGCGAAAATGGATGATGTAACACGATGATAAAAAATTGATGGTGTTGTATTTGTTCTTCATTTTTCTGCGAGTGTGTATTATATCAAAACAACTGTTTCATGAATCTTGTATAGCAATCAGTCCAAACTGTTGTTCAATCAAAAAAAGATTCTTCAAATATGCTTCTCATTTTTATGAGAGAGCTATCAAACTAACGTAACGCGATAACGTTAACTTTTTTACTTGAAGGTATCCAAAAGTAGTAACGGAGATACCTTCTTTGAGGGTGTGGGTGTGAGTATTGGAGAAGTAGAAAAACTCACACCCACACCCTTCTTTTTAGTTTCTTTTTTTCTCAGCAGCGTTTTGAGTATAACAGCTGATATCAATTAAAAATGGTTACTATCATACAATGTAATATTTGATGAATAGTTATGTTTATGTAAAGATATGTAATGAAATGGAACCATGTCAATTATGATATTTAAAAACTAGGAAGAAAGAAAAATATACGTTTTAAATAATTATTTTTGTTAACAATAGAATAAAGAGAAAAGAAGTATATACTTTAAGATATAAAAAACTTGACGATCAATGTTTCATTTTTTCTCTTTGCGAAGAGACTGAATTTTAATACTTTAACTTCATCGGAGTTCTCCACAAGATAAATATGGATATGACAATAATATATTTCACTATTTTTCAAATAAATTTCCCTTTCTGCTGTTTTGTCTAATTCATTTTCCTTATTGGTGTTTCTTTGAATATTTTCATATCAATATAGTCTGTATTTAATTAATCTTTCCAATTGTTTACATACACTCTAAAATTCTTATTTAATTGTTCTAATTCTTTAAGTTTCTTTTTACCAATTTCAGATAAATTACATTTAAACATCCAGAGTCTTTTCAATGATTGATTCTTTTTAACCATGCCAATAATAGATTCAATACTTTTATCAGTTATTAATGTATTCGAAGTAAGCCAAAGCAATTCAATCGTTGAATTGGAGTTTTCAATTGCATCAGCCAATAATCGAATTCCTTCATCAGTTATTTCATTCGAGCATAGATCAAGTTGCGTCAGTATTTTATTTGTTTTAATCATTTGAGCAAGATGTTTCATACCATCATCTGTAATTCCATTTTTTCCAAGATCAAGTTTTTTTAGTGTATTATTGTTCATTGAAAGTATTTTACTTAGAAAATGCATGCCATCATCAGACACTTGATTCGATGAAAGATCAAGATAACTTAGTGAATTATTATTATGTAATGTTTGAGCTAAGATTGAAACACCAACAGATGTAATTCTATTTGATTTTAATATTAATTGTTTACATTGTTTTCTAATAAGAATTTCTTTACTGATAATTTTCATATCTTCATCAGTTAATTGGTGTTCCGATAAATCTACATGAGAATGATCTTGGTATTGTTCTATCAATTGTTGCAGTTGTACATTTTGATTATGATGATTAATACCTAAAATAGAGAAGAATTTCTATTGGAATTATTGATTTCGAAAAAGATTTTAAGCTGGGTTAGATATAGAATTGTATTTAATTAAATTAAACAACGCCAAACAGTAACTTTCCTCTACCAATTAATAATTTTTTTATTCTGAAATCTTCTGATAAATATGTATAAAACAAAGACATCTATGTTTTTCTTACTAGAAGATACGAATCGAATTGGATGAATACAATCATTTGCATTAAGAAAATGTATAGTTTTGAATTGTTCAATATGAGTTGGAAGATAATATTGACTATTGAGCGATAGTCGTGTTTCAAATGGCCATGTTGATTGTAAAACATAGGTTAAGAAAGTATAGGAAGAAATTTCGTTCCACCAGAAAAATATCTTACGTTCGTTTTCATATGTTTGTAAATGTAAATTAACATCACGAACGATAAAATTGTGTAGAAATGGAGAACATAAAAATCGAGGAAAAGAATGTTTAAAATATATGAGGCATGACTGATGCTTGTGTTTATTTTTCAATTGAAATGTAGTGTTTAGAGTGGCAGAAAGATATTTACTAAATGGTTTCCAGATCTTTGAGTAAATCATGATGAAAATTGATTTATCGAATATTAATTTATATTCAATAGTAAATATTCAGATCAATATTTGATGACGTGTTCATGATTCTGAATAATATATAAAAGAGAAAACAATTTTTTTTATTTCGAAATAATAAATCAATAAAGAAATAACATTAGAAAAGTTCATTTTACAATTTTAAAAATAAACCACTTCGTCTCGACCTCTTGTGTTAAAAAGAATGTAAGAAAATGGATAAAAATTTTATTTCATACTCACTTTTCATCTCTCCGAGGCGTTCTTTTATTGTTCTGTTTAATCAAATACGAAACAACAAAATGTACATTGGTTGATTCTTTCGTTCTCTCTTTATAAATTGGAAAAAAAATTCATGTAAATAAGAATATTTACATTGTTCTTTGTGATCTTTCAACAGTCAATTTTTTCTTCCGATAAAGAATTTTTGTATGTATGTAAGAATGGTAAAACAAGTTAAAATTTGAAATATTATTAAAGGAAAAAAATAATGTTGATGTGAGAAAGATATTGTAAAATAAAATATAAAAAAAACGATTCGAAAGCTATTGGTGTATTATTTTAGTATTTTCTAAGTAAACATAATATCACTCTCATTTAAAATATTGAAAATACCACAGATATATTCTTACTTTATATTCCCATGTTAATAATAGTGTTCGAATAAATGTTTTTACTTAAAAATTTACTTGTTATATTATTAATATAAAATAATGTATTAATCTTGAAATTTAAATATCTTTATTGAAATATAATTAATGAAAAAAACAAAAAAATCATAGATATATAATAGATTTGACTGTTACTAGCACAGTTGACCAATGTTTTTACTTGACGAGATTGAATTATTTGAATTCCTCTCTGTCTCATCTCATTCGTTTTATTGTTAATTGATTCATTAGCAACACCTCTACATGCATCTTGAATAAGATACGTTGTATAATTCAAATCCATCGCATCCAACGCTGTTGCTGCTACACAATAATCTGTAGCTAATCCAGCAACATAGACATGTGTCACATTCCATTGTTTAAGTATACTATGTAATTCTGTTTCTTGACGTTTGAAATTATCCCAAAATGCTGAATAACTATCAATATCAGAATCATTACCTTTTTTTATATGAAAAATATTATTTTTTGATGAATTAACCATAAGATCTTTGTGCAATTCTACTTCAGCTGTTTCTTGAACGCAATGTTTGGGCCATAGAACTTGTTCCATTTCAAACTTTGGACCTGTATATGTGAC